CTCTCCTATCACTGGATATTTCAGAAAGGGAAGGAAAACATCATCAGACCTCGGGGGCAGAAAAACTCATCCTTTCACTCACGTGTCAGATACTCCCATAGCTATTGCCACGATGCTCGCAAGGCCTCCCAACACACCAGGTAAACCATGCAGGTTATGGACCCCACATGTATCTTGGATCCTCAGTTTAGTAGCAAAAAGTGGCTAAAATTATAAAAAGAGGAAGGCTTATTATTTTGTTATATACACAGAACTCTATAACTGAGGTAAATAACCATGCAGGAAAAATTTTATCTACAGCCCAGTTCTCCATTTATATCTGAAACCCACTTAAGTCAAAGAATTTGAATACACTGGTGACAAAACTGCCCATTTCTGTCTTTAGAGGATGGGTTTGAAGGTGAATGACTTCAGATTCTACTCCTTCTCAACTACCGATGGCATCCTAAATTCCCTTAGAGCACAGAGTTTGTATTTACACAAAACAAACAAATAAGCAACAACAACAAAAACTTCAGTGAAACTTCTCTGGAGGAAAGTAACATAAGTATTCAACATTCAATTCATACTAAATTTTAAACAAGTGATATCAGATTCTCTCCTACTACACAAAAGCCAGGAAAAAGTAAAATCACTGGACCACTGAAACGTGAGTAGTATTTCTGAAAGAAAGGCAAATGGCCCCCAAACAAAGAAAGGTACTTATGAAAGAAAACTTCATAGATTTTTTTCTGCTGGTGGGATGTGAGAAGATAATGGTGCTCTGAGCGTCTGTTTGTACTTACAGTCAGGAACTTGTACCCAAGCACGGAGACAACTCCTGCAAGGCCCCCAATGATCATAGAACCAAATGGGTGAATCGCCATGTCTGCACAAGTGCCCACAGCAACTCCTCCAGCAAGGGTTGCATTCTGAATGTGAACCTGCATGGAGGGCAGGAAAATAAATGAGGAGAGCTGAAAGGAAGAGTACAGGACTGGAGGAATTTAGACGTCAATGGACTGATGGCACATTCTTCAACTGAAAGGGCCACTGATTCTTTTTAAAGAGAGGGTTCTTTGTAATTACAGAAGGTCTTTCTTCCAAGCAGCTGACATTTGCTAGGTTACTTTCCAGAGTCCCTTGGTAGTGGGTAAATAATCAAGTTAATGAGATCAGTGGTGGGAGAGATGTGGGAAAGTCAAAAGAAGTAGTGGAAGGGTGGAAGTGTGTAGAACAAATATTCTAGCAGTGTTGGCTTGTTTATGCAGTTTGTGGAACACAACTGTGGTTATCATGAACCAAAAGAGGACTATGGCTGCTGTGTGCTCTGTAGAGTCTATGATATTTCAGT